TAGCTTCCAGAATGGTTAGAACAATTTATTTCTGTGCTTTAGGTCCCTCAGTTTGTGGCTCTTTGTTATGGGAGCCTGAGAAACAGCTTCCTTTCTCTATTTACTAATGCACCCATGTACCCCTGAGATGTTTACTGATGGCCCACCATGCACTGGGCACCATGCAAGAATGTGCTTTCTAGAGCTCAGCACTCAGCCCTTCTCTTGTCTCAGATCCTGGACAATGATGTTTGTTTCCAAGGCATCTCATATTGGCTTGAGGTTGAGCCAACTGTCTTTCCTTTTTCTGTACCCTTGTTGTGAGTCACAGACTCTAAAATTCCACATTTCCCTTGGGTTACTGTCAGTAATACTGGGGATATTAGACTCAATGAAGTCCCTGCTTCCAAACCTAGTGGAGCCCTCTCTGTGATGCCTGGAGGACCCTTGTGACAACTCCCCTCCTTCACTGACGTCACCCACCATCGTTGGGATGAAGTACAAACTCCTGGATCTGGCATTCAGTGGCCTCTAGGGCTTTGTTCCTGCCTGCACCTCCATCCACATCTCACTCCCCAGGTGCAACTGGTCTATTAAGCTCTCAGGAGCCACCTGCAAGACTTGAAATGTCTGTCTTAATTTGTTGTTATTATTTTAATATCTTTGGCTGGTAACATGTGGGAGCTTAGTTCCTTGACCACAGATTGAACCCATGTCCCTTGCAGCAGAAGTGCTGATGTCCCTCCTGTGATCTTCAGTCACTGTGCTTTGGCAATCTGTTCCCTCCTCTGGAACAGTCCCTTACCCTCTGCTGGTGGAACTCTCCCAGGATACTAGAAGATTCAGTTCAAGGGCTGCTTTCACTGTTGAGGTTTCCAGCAAGACGAGGAAGAGGACCCAGTCATGGCCTCTGTTGTGATCAGTGATACAGATGACCTGTCCAGTTCCTAAACCTGCCTTCATTCCAATCTCTTCTATCTGGAGTCTTCTAGAATCTGCTGCTTCTGCTGCTAAGTCACTTCAGTCGTGTCTGACTCTGTGCGACCCCATAGACGACAGCTCACCAGACTCCTCTGTCCCTGGGATTCTCCAGGCAAGAATACTGGAGTGGGTTGCCATTTCCTTCTCCAATGCATGCATGCATGCTAAGTCGCTTCAGTCATGTCCGACTCTGTGCGACCCTGTGGACAGCAGCCCACTAGGTTCCTCTGTCCAAAGGATACTCTAGGCAAGAAGACTGGAGTGGGTTGCCATTTCCTTCTCCAGCTCTAGAACCTAGGGGTCATTTTTTTTTTCCCCTTCCTGCATCCAACCAGACTGCAGAGCCTGACAATCAAACTAACAATCACTGCTAAGGTCAAGGAATGACCTGAATTTATATCTTACAGCTTGGTTTGGAGAAGCTCTTTCTATCTAGATGTACTGTCAGCTTTATAGCTTCACATCTCCTTACCTTTAGGGAAAAACCAGTGCATTTCCCACCCCTTCCCTGTTTGTGCAGGGGAAAGCTGCTATAATTTCTGTCCAAATTCCACCATTGCTGGCTCACGACTTCTGATTGGACAGATGCGTCCTCTGTAACCACGATCTCTTCTTTCCTATCCTCTCTCTCATCAGTCACAGCTGAAACCTCTTTTGTCCAAAGTCTACTCTTTGTTCACTCCCTATTGGTGATTATTCAAGCATGCAACTAAGTGCTTTTGGCTCCAAAATGCCTGTGAACAGCAAGAAGGAGGAGATCTTAAAAATTACTTGTGTATATCCAGAGTGAAAAAGCAACACAGAAATCCGATGAGCATCTTAAATAGGGGTGTTTACTTTCCCTTGATGCTTTTAGTTTAAGAATATACTTGCTATACACAAAGTCAAACTGATTATAAAACCATGCCATCCTCTTTCATTTCAGACCAGGTTTTAGCAGACAACTGAATAATGGAAGAAGAAAAGGAGACCTCCACTTTGTAGCCTGCCACGTAATTTATTTTAAGGGCACTTGGATTTCTAAGATTCTTTCAGTAGTGACTGGTATAGATTCAGGATTAGTTGAGTAGGGCCTCTGCATAGCTTAGAGTCCACAGGGACCTGGATCAACTTCAGAACAGTCTGAATACTCATCCAGAAACCCCAGACAGAGGGATTTTTAGAAGAGATAACTTTTAAAAATAATTGGATTGCATTATTCTTCTAATTCAGAACACAGACCTGATGGAGCCAGGAGTTGGACAAGTAAGTTGGTGGAGGGTTTTCAAATTGTCTTAAGGTTGTGAGTGAGTTAGCAGGCAGCATGGCACCCTACTCCAGTACTCTTGCCTGGAAAATCCCATGGACAGGAGCCTGGTAGGCTGCAGTCCATGGGGTCGCTAAGAGTCGGACATGACTGAGCGACTTCACTTTCATTTTTCACTTTCATGCATTGGAGAAGGAAATGGCAACCCACTCCAGTGTTCTCGCCTGGAGAGTCCCAGGGACGGGGGAGCCTGGTGGGCTGCTGTCTATGGGGTTGCACAGAGTCGGACACGACTGAAGTGACTTAGCAGCAGCAAGGTGAAGGGAAGTATCGGGAAGGCCTTTGCTATTGTATCCAGAATAACTGAAATCCTGAATCTCATCTGGGTCATTGATGCTGTCTGCCCTGGAGACTGGGTGTGTTTCCCTGTTCCTATGTTATGCAGCAAAGGTCGAGATAGTCTGGTAGATTATTTCAGAAGCTGAAAAGGACTGGGAGAGCACATAGCTGAAAAGAGAATACTGTTAGGTGTCGCAGAACTGTAAGAAAAGCACTTTTCAGCCCCTAAATCTCCAGCACAACATCAATTTTGGCAAAGAGAAAGCAAGGCAAAGGGTGGGCCCTTAAGTCTGATTCTGGATTGAATATCTGCTCACTTCTGCAGGGAAAGATATTTAGAAATGATACTAAAGTGATAATTGGCTCCCCTGAGTGTGTCCCACCTGTGTGAAGGGCTCCTACTTTCCACCCACAGGGAGTGAATCGCGAGCACAAAGGTTGAGGTGGGAGGTCACAGAGGATACCACACAGTCCTGCCACTTCCTTAGCTTCCTGCCCACATGTACTCATGCCGACATGCCATTTTACATATGTCACTATCATCCGGACAATGAGGTTCAGAGAGGTTATGTTGCCCAAGGACCCACAAGTGGTACGCAGGGTGGGATGCTGGTCAGCTTTCAGAATCAGCATTCCTCCTCTGGCATCCTTTCCCCTGTCTCACCAAGCACTGTCTTCCACAGTCAGAATCCAAGTTCTCCATCCAGACACTCTGTGGCCCAAGAGGCCTGGATAGGAGACCTCTTTGAGCCTAAGCTTACTAACCTATAATATGGAGCCTGGGACCTCACAGGGGTGGGGTGTGAGGTTTAGTTGCTCTTACATGCAAAGTGGTTTCCAAGCTCTGATCTGGAAGTCTCCCAGAAATGTCTGTATTCCTGGGTTGTAGGATCCCGTTTGACACTAGTTCTTGCCCTCACTTCTTGTCCTTGGCATCAGACTCAGCAACCTTGCAGCCAGTTCCCCATGGACTCCTCAGTTCTGTCACCACCTGGTGAGAAGAGGTGGGGCTGCTCCCTCCAGTCAGGCTGCCTGGATGGTCAGCCCAGTCCCTGCAGAGCCCTGCTCCTTGTGAGGGTCCTCAGCTACAAGAGTCCTATGGATTCTTGGCCCTAGGACCCCAGGGAATACCTGGCGTTTGGAGACATCACAAGTGCTGTGCACCCACTGGCGGGGGCTGCAGGGTGGGCTTGTCCTCTGGGACATGACCTGGGCTAAAAACAGCCTGTGGGCACTGCCACCTCTGTCCCATGCCTTCCCCACCCTCATTCGCTGCTCTTAGAGGGAAGGAGACAGGGGCCATGTTCTCTTCTTCCTTCAGGGACCCCACTCCAAATTAGGGTCTACCTTTTCTGGAACCTCACAAAGCCTTCCTTTGACAGACACATGCTAAACATATCTAACACACATTTTCTTTGCTCCAGAAGTGCTGGACTAACACATCAGTCAGGCTCTGGCCCCAAATTTAGAAGCATGGTGAAGAGACCAGGCACTGACTCAGGGTGAGATGGGCTGAATGGCCTTCTCACCACATCCTGGCCGTGTGACCAGTAACAGCCCTTTCATCTCCCTGCCTCTGCTTCCTTATCTGCAGCAATAATAGTAAAGACAGGTGACATTCACAGGTCCGGGACCAGGTATACATACAACGCCTTAACTGGAACTGTCTTATTTGATCTTCTTAAGCACCCAGTGGGGGACATGCCCATTTTCTCATTGTACAGATGCAGGAAACTGAGGCACATGGAGGTTGAGGAGCTGTCCCAGGGTCTCACAGCGGCAGGATTTAGTGACATGCTGCAGAGTATCTAGCCAATGTCCGTGGCTGGGGGCACCCTAAGCGGTCATCACAGTTTATAGTGCCTGCACACTCTGAACTTATGTGTATGAACCTTCTCAATTTTCCAAGCATCCCCATGCATGACATCCCCCAACCCTCATTCGAATTCAGCTGCTCCTTGGCTCCCAAAGGTCTCTGTGTAGAGACCTCAGGAGGTTCGCTGGGCAACAGGTTAGCCTTAGGTCCAAGAAATCCCCACATTCGGTAGTTGCCCCCCATCTTTCACCCAAGCTCCAAGACACCGTCCCCGTAGCAATAACTGGCGTGTGATGCAAAACTGACCTTCAATATCATTGCAGCTACGTATGCCCCGTTTCCGACCCATTGCCTCCCAGAACCTCAGTGTTCACATCTGTGAAATGGGAGTGGTGAAATGAGCCGCCTGCAGGTTTCGGTAGAGGATCGCTGGCGGCGGCCTCGCCCTTGCTCTCAGCCCAGAAGCCCTGGCCGGGCGTGGGGGCAGGCGGCCGGAGGGGCGGGGGCGGGGGCCGGAGCCGGGCGGGGGGCGGGCGCGGGGCGGGCTGCGCTGCGGCGGGGTCGGGGGAGGAGTAGGGGGCGGGTGGCGGGCAGGCGGTGGCGCTGCTCCCGCGTCACAGCGCCGGGCGCGGTGGGGAGATGCGGCTCCTGGCGCTGGCGGTGGCCGTGCTGCTGGCGCGGGCTCCGGCCCCGGGTAAGCGCGGCGGGTCCAGGTGGCTCGGGGACCCTGGGGTGGGGCTCGGGTGGCGGGTCCCGGGGAGGCCGGGGCTGGGGACTTGGGACTCGGGCCTGGCCGGGAGGCCCTGACGCCTCCGGGCCGCCCCCTCCCGGTCTCCGTCGGCGCCCGCGAGCGGGGGTCTGTCGGTCCAGGCGGCGGAGCCCAGCGGAGCCTCTCGAGGGTCGGAGATGCGGCGTCCCTTCCTCCCTTCCCGCTCGGTTGGGACCCCAGCGCTCCGCTGGACCTTCCGCAGCCCAGTTCTCTTCCAGGGGCCAGGCCTCCAAGTGGAAGATGCGAGCAGGACTTTGCGAGTCCTAGTTTTGGTTTGTTTTCTGTTTTCTTCCCAACAGTCAGCGCCAACAGCTGCTGGCAGGTTAGTGTGGGCAGCAACTTCCCTTTAACTCTCTTCGGAGAGTTCTTTGGAGGACCGGTCCGAAGGAGCCGCATCTGCCGCCGGCGGTGGGGTCTGGGGACTTGATCGCGGGCATTTTGCGATGACCCGGCCTGGGGAGCTAGGGGATCCTCGGGCCCTTTACCCTTTTCCTGAGCACCCGACTTTCGGGGCAGCCTCTACCGGTTCTATTGGCTTTCATTTGGGGTTTCTGTTCCCACTTCTAAGGCGCTGAAGACTTTTCTTTATTTCCCAAGGCTGAAAGGGCAGTGTTGGCTAGAATAATAGTAATAATAAATATATTGATGGCACTCACATTTCCTGGGTGCCCATTGGGTGTTACAGGTATCTCCTTTAATCACACAGTGCTTCAAAGTAATAATGATAAGAGTAAATGTATATCCAAGTGCTTTGCAAACATTAATTCAGTTAAACTTGTCTCTGAGGGAAATGCTATTATTATCATCCCTTATTTTATAGATGAGGAAACAGGCCAGTTCCATGAGTTGACCTGCTTAAAGTCACAAGGTTTATACCTGGTTTAGCTGGGATGTGAACGCAAGAATCCTGGGTCTAGGCCGCTCTTACTGGCTAGGCTGTGTTGCCAGTGTTTTTTAAATAAGGGGGCTGATGAACAGAGTTAAGTAATTTTCCAGCATTTGGGTGGGTGGCCCAGCCTTTGAGCCAGCATAGATCGATTCTGATGGGGGAGGGACTTGGTTCCCAGTGGGAAGAAATTTACCCCTTGTCCCCTGGCTACCAGTGCAGTGGGGTTTCCAGTGAACTTGAAATCGGCCCTGTGGGAAATGTTCTTCACAGTTGTTGCTGTCTTGGCTCACAGTTACTGGAGGTTTGACTGAGATAGTTGGGCCAGGGCAGTTCTAGTGGCTAGCAGCCAGCAAGATGCAAGAGCGGGGCACAAGGGTATTTGTTCCCTGGGCTCCATGACCGATTTCCTAATCTCAGGTGCTGTCAGCAATGGTGAACCCAGAGAGGGGCTTTTTCCAGGAAACCTCAGGAGCTTTGAGAACTGGAATTAGGGAACCTTTATTTATTTGGCCCTGTTGTGCGGCGTGTGGGATTTTAGTTCCCTGACCAGGGATCAAACCCACGCCCTCTACATTGGAAGTGCAGAATCTTAACTGCCAGACTGCCAAGGAAGTCCCCTGGAATCCGAGAACCTTTAGTCAGCCCTGGCTGTGCCCAAGGCTATGTGATGATGGCAGCTTCTGCTTGTGCTGCACTCAGTATGCCAGTCCTTCTTTTAAGCTTTTCATCCACAGCCCCTGGTTGCGACACCCCAAGAGAAGGCCTGGCAGATCCACTTTATACCCAAGTCTGGGCTCTTAACTGCTGTACTTCTCTATATCTCCCTTTTGGGGAAAAGTGGGGCCTTAGGGGTTACCTGGTCCAACCTGTCATTTTATAGCAAACTGAAGGGGCAGACTATTTACTCAGAGCTATGCTGTAGTCCAGATTGGTGGTTGAGAACTGTCTCTGATGCCAGATGACCTTGTTGCTAATTCCAGCTCTGTCATGTTCTGTGTGAGCTTGAACAAGTGGCTTAGCTTCTCTGGGCCTTAACCCTCTTGTCTGTAAAATGGGGATAAACATACTATGAGGATAAATTAAGAAAACACAACTAAAGTGCACACAGTGCACACAGAATAGTACTTGATCTGGATGTGAACAGTTCACATCCAGTAAATGTTAGTGTTCATCATTGGTCAGGGCCTTGTGTTCATCCTGGATGAGAGCTATTTTAAGGTGACCACCTTAATATGAAGGCATTACCCTGTAGGCTGGATCTCTGCTTGGTACTCGGTAAACACTGGCTTCTAGTGCCATGAGTTTTAAAGTTATATTTCTTTCAGAGATTTATTTGTCACAAATTCAGACTATCCTTTTAGTAAGAGTGAGATGACTGCCAACTGGTACACACAATTTGCATTCCTTATCAATGCAGAGGCTCCTGGCTTCCTGAAAGGAGAGGGGAAATTTCTTCTAGACAGAGAAGTCTGGGGCACAGAGCCATTAGCACTTAGCTAGCCAAGTTGGAACAGAGGGACCCTGGCCTTGCCACGTCTGTGTCCCAGGTGAGGCAGGTACTCTGTTTCTGTTAGAAGTTCTATACTCCCCTGTACCTGGAAGCTGCTATTTCTCACTTCATATTAAGTGTAGGGAGGAGGTAAGTGGGGTAAGGGAGAGAAGATGGTTGAGTACTAAATGAATAGGTTGTATACTATTTGGCTACACTGAAGTCCTTTTAGGCTGTTTTCTGAGCTTTAGTTCTTTTCATAACATTATCCAAATGGGAACAAGAGGATTAGACCCCATAAATCTTATCCACAGGAATTTAACATTTATTTACAGGGGGAACCAGCTATGTAATTTGTGGGATTCAGTGCAAAACGGAAATGCAGGATCCTTCATTTTAAACTTTTTAGGCTTTTAAAAGCAGATTAAATTAAAAAAAGCAGAGATTAAATCAAATGGAGACCCTCCAAGCTTAAGGCCCTGCATGACTGCTGATCATGCCTGCGAGAAGCCCAGCCTTCTTATAGATCGCTGTGTGTGTTGTCACTTTCTGTTATTTCCACCTGTTCTATTCTCAGAGCATGCAAGCATTTATCAGTATCTTAAAGGTGCTTTTTTAAAGTAGCATTTTTATTTATTTAAAAAAAATATTTGTTTGTGCCGGGTCTTAGTTGTGGCATATGAACTCTTAGTTGCTGCGTGTGGGATCTGGTTCCCTGACCAGGGATTGAATCCAGTCCCCCTGCATCGGGAGCACAGAGCCTTAGCCACTGGGCCACCAGGGAAGTCCCTAAAGGTGCTTTCTTGTTGGAACTTTATACTCACCATGCAAGGCATCATCTTCCTGCTTTTGAGATGAGGAAACTGAGGCCCTGAGGACCTCACTCCTAGTAGAACCAGGTTTCCAGCCTGGCTTTGTTGGATTTCAACCCCTGGCTCTTTGCCTAGTCCTGCCACAGCACTGGCAAGGCCCTAGGCCTTGAGCATCCTGGCACCCAGCCCATGAGCGGAGGGCATACCTGCCTACCAGGTCATGGCACATGTGCTTGTTGAAGAAGTAAGGTTCTTTGCAACAGGAATCCCGACCATCTGTTTTGGGTCAGTCTCTTTCCTGCCCATGTTGTCAAGACCTTTAAGAACTGGTCTTGGGGGCCCTGGCTGGGGTGCAGTGGCCCCTCCTGAGGTCTGTCTGCAGACCTAGGTGGCTGCCTGGGCAATGGTGTGGTGCAGTTCACTGGAGGATACTGATCTTCCCATTTCCAGCCTGCACCAGGTTCCTCCTGCCTCAGGGCCTTTGCACAGGTAGAACCATTTTCCACGAAGATCATTGCCTCGCTGCTGCCCTGAATTTGTGTCATGAGCTCCCCCTCAGCCTTCAAACGCACCCTCACCTCTCCAGGGTTTCTTTCCTTCCTGACACACAGAGATGAGAATCTCACGCTCAGGTTTGCAAGCCCTGCATCTTTTCTCTGAAGTTCTCCTGTGTCTTTTTACCTGATGACCAGTGCCTTGTCCACTGGACTCTCAGCGCCTTGAGGTTAGGGATGCCTCTTCTCACAGTGCTCGGCACATGGCTGTTCTCAGCAACTATTTGTCAAGTGATTAAGTGAACAAAGCATAAGCTAGGGTGTAAGCTGGAGGAAGCGGAGCACTGAATGTGGAGGTGGCCGGGGTGGGGGTGGGGCTGGGGGGCCTCCTCCCAGCTCACTTCCCTGCAGTGCAGGACCAGAAAGCAAGAAATTTAGTTCTCCAGCACAGAGTGACTTCAGTACTTCCTCCTCTGCCAGGAGAGCGGAGACTGTGCCCGGCCCGGGGCTACTCCCTTACCTTGTATGGTGTCAGAGGGTCTAGTGACACCTGACTCTCCAGTCTGGTAGCTGGCTTGGTCCATGTTGCCTGCTTTGCCCCTCTGCCCTGCAGGGTGTGGATTCTCTGTTCAGATTGAGACCCAGAGGGGAAAGGCTTGGGCCCCTCCCTAGCACCACACTCTGGTCAGCCTGTCTCTACTGCATAACTCTTGGCCACTCTGCAGTTTCTTTGTTGAACCATATGGGGCCTGATAATTGCCATGGGCAGAAGCTGGGTGATGCTCTCCTCTAGCATTTAAACATTCAGCTAAGCAACCATCTGCAAGGCACTGGGTCGTCTACCTGCGTTTTCTCCCTCCCTCGAGCATTGCCACTTCCCACAACTGCCTTTGGGCTGAGTTGTGTTCCTTGGGCTTGAGGTAGTCACTTCCATTGTAGAGGGGAGGGCATTACCTGGGGCAGTGGCTTTCTGAGAAAGGTCACTGCATGCGTGGGGAGCCACACAGCCTGAGATCCTGTGTCTTTTAACAAAGCTTAATGCCCCGAGGAACCTGTGGGCATTATCGTTTCAGTCACACCCCCATACTCTCATGTTGAAAGTAGGAGTAAATATCTGGGCTGGTGGTAAGACTAGGGCCGAAATGAGCCTTCCTGAGAGGAAGGTTGTATTGCTTCCCTGGGGCCGCCATCACAAAGTGCCACAGACTGGGGGCTTCGACAACAGAGTTTAGTTTCTCACAGCTCCGGAGGCCAGAAGTCTGCAGCGCTGCTCTCTTCTGAGGCCTCTCTCCTTGGCCTGTAGTTGGCCTCTTCTCCTTATGTGTTTACATGATCTTTCCTCTGTGTCTGCTCCCTAATCTCTTCTTATAAGGACACCAGTCATGTTGGACTGGAAAAGGAAATGGCAACCCACTCCAGTATTCTTGCCTGGGAAGTCCCATGGACAGAGGAACCTGGTGGGTTACAGTCCATGGGCTCGCAAAAGAGTTGGACACGACTTAGTGACTAAACAATGCCAACATGTTGGATTGGGGTCCTCCCTAAGGGCCTCATTTTAACTTAGTCATCTCACTAAAGGTTCTCTCTCCAATACAGTCCCATTTGGAGCTCCTGGGGATTAGGGTTTCAGTATAGGAATTTATGGGGGACACTGTTCAGCCCATAGCAGGGGTCTTTGCACTTCAGTGAGAGTGACATGTTTGGGCCATTTGTAAGAGAGGGGCTAACTGAAGGCGGAGAGGCATTTCCAACTTTAATTGGGGAAGACGGTGCAGTTTGCTCCCTTTCCTGGGAGCTGCTGACTTGGCCTGAGCTGCAGAAGTGGAAGAGTTACTGGTTTGCCTCCAGGATGGAATCTGGCCTCCCATGAGGACCAGAGCCCTTGGCGTGTTCTCCTGGTTTCAGTCACTATAAATAATCCCGCCTTCATGCAGCGTTAATAGGAGGAGACGAGGGTGTGGGGTCCCGGCTGTGCTCTCATCCCATCCACGTTGTTTCAATTTCCTGACTTCCCCAGCTCTCTTTGCCTCCAGTGGGGAGACCATGGGGGCGGGCAGAGCGGGACTTCAGTTCTGGAAGCCAGCTGCTTCATCTCTGCTGCTCTCCGCTTGGGCAGCTGTTGAAGTGGGGTCAGCCTGGCATTTCTGTGCTCTTCAGGGAGTTCCCAGCATGGGGCCTGAGCGGGCTTTGGGGAAAATGCTTTTGGTCTAATATAACATGGTGTGTGGGCTGGTGGGTGAGCTGCAGGGAAACGGTGAGGGCAGTCCCTCTTTTGTCCTGTGTGAGTGACTTGCGTAGATAGTGAGATTGTTACTAGGGGGCGTGTGCCTTCCTTGGGTACCTGTTCATCTGCATTCCCGAGTGTCTCCCTGGGTGGCTTTGGCTTTGCCACTGTAAACATAGAAGACCTCATTTTTGTTCACAATGAGCTGAGTCCAGCCAAGCATCCATCTTTTCCTTCTGAATTCATTTTCATCTATTTTTTTTAATGGTAACAAAAGACTATCACAGTGCTGCTAGCTGAATAATGACCCCCAAAGATGTCTGCATCCTGATCCCTGGAACTGTGAATACAGCTTAAAAGGCACTTTATGGATATGATTAAGTTAAGGATCTTGGAGTATCCTGGAGTGTCCTGGTGGCCTGGCTTTTAAGAGCTGAGAAACAAAAGAAAATTGACTCTCAAGTGATATCTCTTGAGATGTTCAGTTTATTAAATGAATAGTGGAAACTATGTGGAAACCATATGCAAGGAGGAGCCTATTGCCTGAATTTTTACAATGAAGGATACTGTTTGGGTTAAACTCTCCCTGTCACCCCCAGCACACATAGGGCCTCACCTTGTTGACTCACAGCCTCTTCACAGTGGAAGGTCCAAATCTTTACTCTCTTTTTCATCCTTCCTCCTTGCTTACCTGTAGCACTGACCAGGGTTCAAAGTCTTGGGGGACTCTGCCATCAAGGCCCCCTAGTCCCCTCATGTGACCAAGAGGTGGTATTTGGGGACTATTAGTAGTTTGGGATGACCTTGGGAACACCTGCTCGTGCAGTAGGGCATGATGCTTCCTGGAGTTGCCTGCTGGGCAGCGCAGGGATGATGATGTGGGGCCTGCTGAGAAGACAACCCAGCTTGGACAGTAGGAGGCTCTGGGCATCCTGTCCTTCCTGGACTCTGCCTGCCAGGGGGAGGCTGCACTCGTGAGCTCCCGGGCTGCACGGCTGCAATATGTAATCCCTGCAGACTCCGTGTGGTTTGTCTACTGGGAGAAGACCTTGGCAAGGGTGGCTGGGCTGGCTGATCTTGAGTGGACAGGGGGTGGCATCCTCAAATGTCAGCTTGGAGTAGAACCATGGCTGGTGAGAGTCAGCCCTGAGACCAAAGGACAAGAATTCGACCTGGGCCTGGTTTCCTGGAGCATATTTTGGGTTGTTGGGCGAGTCTGGTACCCCTCTTTGCTCCTGGGCTCATTGGCTCTTTATTCCTGCAGTTCAGCTGTTAGACTGTGGATCATGGTCCTAAGAGACTTGGAGTAAGAAAGAGGCACCTCTGTCATTCCAGCTCCCTGGTACTAGTTTAACACTCGCCTGACCAGAACTGAAAATCTGCCTTGGTTACACCTGAAATAGCTGAAACAGGGAAGGGGGCCATAGTATTGCCTCCTCAGGGAGATGATAAAACTGATTGAAGCAGGCCTTGGGGAGGCAGGTAGGAAAGGTAGATTTGATGTAAGAGCTTCCCCAAATTTAAATCTTTATGTGAAATCTCCTGAATTTTAAATATCAGCAACTAACTAAAAATAAGAAAAGCATCTAGGCCAGGTGATCAGTGACATCCCGCTTGCAGGGGATCATCTCATAGGTTGAGGACATGGGGGCCCACAGAGACTCACTCCATGCCCCAAGGAGGGCTCCTTCTTGAAGGCAGAGTGAGCATAGAAGGGGTGGAGGTGGCCCGCTTCTCCGGCCATGCACATCACTCTGGCTCCTTGAGAGAAGATGCTGTGTGTACTCACCTGGGAAATGGCGGTGGCCCTCCTCATTTACTTCCTTCATTTTTTCTCTGCAGAGGTCTGTGGAGCCCTCAATGTCACTGTGTCCCCGGGGCCCGTGGTTGACTACCTGGAGGGGGAAAATGCCACACTTCTCTGCCACGTCTCCCAGAAGAGGCGAAAGGACAGCTTGCTGGCTGTGCGCTGGTTCTTTGCGCGACCAGACTCCCAGGAAGCCCTGATGGTTAAGATGACCAAGCTCCGGGTGGTGCAGTACTATGGGAATTTCAGCCGCAGCGCCTACCGGCAGAGGCTGCGCCTCCTTGAGGAGCGGCGTGGGACGCTCTACACGCTGTCTGTCTTGACCCTCCAGCCAACAGATCAAGGGCATTATGTCTGCAAAGTCCAGGAAATCAGCAAGCACAGGAATAAGTGGACAGCTTGGTCCAATGGTTCCTCAGGGACAGAAATGAGAGGTAAGAATATGTCTTCTCTCTGGGGAGAGGGGAAGGGGGCAAGTCAGAGGGTCTCCCTCCAGCTGGCCAAGCAGTGGCCTCCAGGACAGTCCTACTAAGCTAGAATACATCTTTCTGGACTCTAAGGGCCATGGCTGTATGAACCAGGCCAAGAGAATGAGGATAGATCTTTACATGGATGCTGGGACTGACTTGTGCTATAGACATAAAGTCAGGACAGAAGGTGTCTGGCCCCATGCCAGCCAACCTGCCCCTGGGCAAACTTGTTTTGTACCTGAAAGATGGGACTGGCTGTGTGCTTCATTTGCCTCCAGCTCAGATCTGCACTGCCTTGATTGCTTTGCCTGGGGATGGGAGTGCCGGATGCCTTTGAGAGGAGGCACACATTGGGAGGTCTTGATGTGAATTGCCAGGCCTCAGAGCAGGGCAGCCTGGTGGCTCTGATCCATCGCCCAGAGGAACTGATTTAAGCCTCAGGGAACAGCTCACTCAGAAATTCATCCAAAAGTGGGCAAGGGACCAGAGGTGGCCCTCCCTTTCTGGAAACAGATAAGAGGAATGGGCCATGTTCTGGAACATCTTAGCTACCAAATGCTATATTTGAGGGTTAGCCTTTTTTTTTTTTTTTTTTGGTGGAGTTCCCATGTGTGGCTTGTAGGATCCTAGTTCCCTGACCAAGGATTGAACCTGGACCAGGCAGTGAAAGCATTGAGTCCTTACCACTGGATCACCAGGGAGTTTCCCAATGGTTATCATTTTTTACCACTGATGTTCCATTCAAGAAGCCACCTATCGCAGTTTTAATAAGACTTGTTATTGTGTGCTAAAATTACATCTTTGATTGCTTTGCACATGAATTTGGCCTGGTAGAAAATTAAGAGAACCACAAAATAAACCTGATGACCCAAAGTGTGAAAAAGAATCTAATTTTATTTTATACATGTCATTTAATATTAAAAGCAATAGTGATGCTGTTAAAGGGATAGAACTCAGTTGTGAACAGGCATTTTTAATATCCTGTATGTTATCCAACGGCTTCCCTGATGACTCAGTGGTAAAGAATCTGCCTGCCAAACAAGAGACACAGGAGACGCAGGTTCGATCCCTGGGTTGGGAAGATCCCGTGAAGGAGGAAATGGCAACTCACTCCATTTCCACTCTGTGGAAAAATCCCACGGAGAGAGGAGCCTGGTGGGCTACAGTCTATGGGTCTTAAGAGTCAGAACACAACTGAGCAACTGAGCATGCATATGTTAAAGTAAATAACTTACATGGATGGTCCAATTTCATTTGTCTTTGGAGTTTGCTTATTTTCACATTCTTAAGCATGGAATGATGTATTATCTGAAATGTTGTGCACTTTTTCTCTTTAAGCAAATTAATTCAAGAAAACAAATGACTATTAATATAAATATGTATTTTGGCACAGAAAATAGAAAAATCAGATGACCACAGGCTGAGAAGAGAATCCACTCTGGATTTCACTTGGCTCTGAAACATATGATCTTACGTATACCCTTTTAATTTTTATGTCCCAGTATATTCTTGGAGCCCTGCAGTAAATCTCTGGGCAGTAATGACTCTCTGCCAATTAGAATAGATAAAAAGGTTCCTTGCATTCAAGTGAGTGCTGTCGGCATGTCCATTATTTCATGTGTGTCCCTTCAGTGAATGAAGTTGGGTTCCTTCTAGAACATTTATTTGGTTACATGTTACAGAAACTTAAGGTGGTTTGCGCAACTGCACTGGAATTAATCTCTTTCCCCCACTTCTCGGTTCTTTGATCTGCCCTTCTGAGTGTGAGAGGAGGGGTGGAGTTACAAGGGGGTGTTCAGGGAATTGTCTGTAAACTGCAACTGGTCACATTCCTGCTGTGTCCCTAAGATGGTGTCTCTTGACACAGTCCAGCTCCTTAGCCATGTGGTTGCAGAGTACTTTCCCAGTGTCATGCAAAATGAGAAATCTGAACAAAAATTTAAAACCAGACCAAATAACCAATCTACTCCAACAATTGCAGTTTTATTTGCTTTATTTTGTCTGTGTGTGTTTTTGAGTTTCTCCAAAATCGGATTAAGTCCTTGAGCATGTGTGTTGAGGTGACTAAAAAAATAAGTAGCAAATTATTGGAAAAAAAAAAAATCTATGTTAATAAGTGAATTTGTCCTGGAGTTTTTCCTGAGGACATCTCTGAAAGGGTGTAGCTAAAAAATATAGGCTGAATTAATTTGGGGCAAAACGTAAGTTGTCATTTTATGTTTTAACTGAACAAGTTATTAAAGTATGAATCGGGGATTTTGAAGAATGGGAAAGATTATTGGGGTTTGTGTGAAAACCACATATGTATGAGACCATGGAGGGGGAGAGCTCCTTATTCTAGAAGATGATAGTTATCATCTTCCAAAGAAGATGATAAATAATGAAGAATGAACACGTGTAAACCGCTAGGTGACTGGAGTCATGCTTGTCTTATTTTAGAGAATCTGTTACATCCCATGAACTTGTCAGTGTCAGTTTACTATGAGGAGGTAGGAGGAAAGGCCAAGAATGTCATGCAGTTTCTTCAGTTGCTTGTTCCATGTGACCATTTCAGTGAGCCAGAAGCCCTGCCTGCAGAGAACCTGGATCCAAGAGCCCTAAGTGACACGTGGTGTTGGAACCCTCTGGAGAGGTTTCCAGGAGGGTGGATGTTAGGTTTGATTTCATTTAATTGTTTCATCAATGATTTGAAAAGGGTAGACACATCACCTTAATGAACTTTACATAAAATACAAAACTGGGAACTGTTCTTAACATCAACAAGGAGTAAAACATAACAAATGGGAATCCAAAGAGGTGAGTAATACAAGCAGGATGTAACAGAATGAGATTCAGTTTGGCAAATGGCAGAGTGATACACATCTAGGGGAAACAACTCACAGGCAGTGGTGGAGAGTCAATAGGAGGCTCTCCATGCAGGGACTTTGGTGGTCAGTGGCAAATTAGATGCTCATCTGTAGGGTGACAGGGGGCTTCCCTGGTGGCTCAGTAGGTAAAGAATCCACCTCTAATGCAGGAGACCTGGGTTTGATCCCTGGGTTGGGAAGATTCCCTGGAGAAGGAAATGGCTACCCACTCCAGTATGCTTGCATGGAAAGTCCCATGGATAGAGGAGCCTGATGGGCTACAGTCCTTGGGATCACAAGAGTTGGATACAACTTAGCGACTAAACCACCACTTCAGGGTGATATGGCAAAGCGGACAGTCCATGTTATTTCCATCCATGTATAAACTGGCCTGGTGTCCCTAAGAAGGAAGTTGGTTGTGTTATGTGTACTCTTCTGGGGAGACACTAATGTGGACTACGCAGTCTATTTGGGGAACCTCATTTGTAGAAAGATAGATTCGATCTAGAAGAGAGTAGCAAACATGATAATAAAATGAGTGGCAGCCTTCAGAGAAATGAACAGTTTAGCTGAGGAAGCTTTGCTGGGCTCAGTGAATTGCATATGGACTAGAGTGCTTGGTGGGTTCGTTTATTCCTCTCTCAGTGGGGATTTATTTTATGGAGCACCTGCTCCGTATCTCGCTGTGCTGGAAACTTGGGGACACAGGGTGGATCTGTCTATAGGGTGGCAGATACAGAAGCAGATATGATGTCATGGTGTCAGGTACAGTGATAAAGTGTGCATGGAGCATTGTGTGAAAGCGTAGGAGGCCCCTAAGGATGAGGAGTGGGCAGTGCTTGAGCTGACATTGGCTGTTTATGTGGGGCAGGGAATGAGATGAGGTGGCATCTTGGTGGGTAGGGCATCCCACAGCAGTGAGTCAGGACTGCTGGAGTCTGAACTGGGAGGTGGAGGTGGCACTGGGTATAGGGGAAGCAGGCTGGGCTGATGGCGGAGGGGACTGTACTGAACGTCAAAGAATTTACACTTGATTTTGTAAGCTAGTGTTCTCAATACCAAAGCCAGATTCTGAAGTATCTACCCTAGAGATTCTCGTCTATTCAGCCTGGGTTGGAATTTGAATATTTAACACCCAGTCTAGGTGATTTTGGGGGCTTGTTAGGTGGCGCTAGTGATAAAGAACCCACTTGTCAATGCAGGAGATGTAAGAGATGCAGGTTTGATCCCTGGGTTGAGAAGATCCCCTGCAGGAGGGCATGGCATGTAGAATTCCACGGAGGTCTACAGTCCATAGAGTCGCAAAGAGTAGGACACAAATGAATTGACTTAGCAAACTAGGTGATTTTATCATCAGGCATTTTTTGGAGAATCTTTTCTTTAGTCCTTGGCAAGTCCGTGAAGCATATAAAGTCTTTTGACAGACCCCTCTAAGGGGACCAGGCTACAGAGTGAAGAGGCAGTCTTTTAGGGTTGCATGGGCTTTGTGAAAGTGTTAGTTGCTCAGTCATGTCCGACTGTTTTAGACCCTATGTATTGTAGCCTGCCAGGCTCCTCTGTCCATGGAATTCTCCAGGCAAAATACTGGAATGGGTTGCCGTTCCCTTATCCAGGGGATCTTCCTAACCCAGGGATGGAACCCTCATCTCCTGCATTATAGGCATATTCTTTACCATCTGAGCCACCAGGGAAGCCCATTGCACAGGCTTGAGATGATGCCAAATTTGGTAGTAGGAATGGAGAGACATTAGAGGTCAAATAAGATGTCTTTAATAACCGGATGCGGCAAGGGAGAAAACTTTGGGATGATACCCAGGAGAGTAACTCAGTGTGCCCAGGGTGGTGCCCATGACTGACAAAGGGAGCATAGGAGATGGAGCTCGTCTGCAGGGAAATTGAGAGTGAGCTGGGTGGAGGTCGCCCTGCACTGATGGCCAGTAAGTACACAGAAATGTGGAGCTGGAGGGCCCATCTGATCTGGCTTGTGAGAACTGAATCGGAGTCAGGCAGGTGAACTCACCAGGGGGTGAGTTGATTTCCGAGGGGCAGGGGCCAAGGCGAGGAGCCCCGGGAAGCACCAGTATTTGGGGCAGCAAATGGAGCTAGCTTGGCTTGGTG